CAGTTACGTTGTTACTAAAAACGAATTAGTAATTATTGGTTGGTTATGCTACCAATCACCAAATATTATCTTATAATCAATTATCATCACTAAGAATAGGTATATCGTTGCAACATCTCCTATTGTTGGTCGGGTGCTTTTAAATTATTTCGTGAAAATAAAGTGAATCCAGTGCACATTAGGATAACAGATGAGTTTGTTTCTTTTCCTTTTGAGGCCTGATGGTTAGGTCACTTGACTCGCAATCTGCGGGTTGCAGGTTTGAATCTTCGTCACCGAACATGCTGTGGGGGCATTATAATGTGTGGTCAATCCTACTATTCGTTGGTAAGAGTAGCCCAAGAGTTCGCAGTGGGTGGTGTTGACTAGCTGCCTTCCGTCTAGTCTATCGTTGCTAAATTAGAGACAGCTAGTCGTCAAGTAACTTTGCACAAAATTCAAAACAAACCAAACCTTAATGTTTTTTACAGGCAACTATCACCTGTACATGGCCGTAGGCCTAGGTTCACCAATAATGTTTTCATTTTCAACAGCAAGATACTACTAATGGCATTAAGCCTAACATGTGAATAAATTTACAATTCACAACTAACTGATCGAGTAACTGTATATACATATTAACTAACACTGTAAAGCTTCCTCAAAGAGGTGCACCTACTTTACTTCAACCTAATTCTCACATCCTCATCTGTTAGGGCCTCTATAAGTTGGTCACATGCCACAGCTCCATCATTTGATGTGTAGTGTCGAGGTAATATAATTGAGCAAGCCTTTCCAAATCTATATATACATATACATTTCATAACTTTTTGCAATATTGGTTTTCATATTAATTTTGATAATTTCTTGTTTATCACATTCACAGAAAATTCTCTATTTGTAGTACTGCTGAAATAGTTCAACTTCATCCCAATATATTTAGTTTCATTGTTATTATTTTACTTCACAAACTGATTACTCTATTCCCATGAATGCTGTTGATTACTTGAGTTAATGTTTGAAAAGTCAACTTAAACTTTAAGAATAATATTTCCACATTTTTTTCAGTTACAAAACTTTCACATCTTTAAACTTTACAACCAGTATTCTAATCTTCCTATTCTGCTCATCATTCTTTTACTTAGAACCTAATACAACCTGATAAACTTGTTAAACAAATGAGACTGTACAACCCATATAGATTTAGAATTTTAAGTTTATTCCATACTTCACACACATCAGGCTGCCTATAGTACAAAAGAGTATAGATAAAAAGGTAAAAGTTTACAGTGCCCTCAGGAAAAATTATAATTTCAAATAAAATGCATTATAATTGAAGAAATAAGTAATATAAATAGACACTTTTAAACTAATCATTAATTTTGATGTATAGTGATGGCCTAATGCTATGTTTTGTCAGTTTCCGATTCTTGAGATATGGAAGGTCTTGCAGTTGATGCTTGTATATGGTCTGGAACTTTCTCTATAGCATACTTTAAAAATAAATAAAAAATATGTCATTTCAGTTAGCTTATTGTTTCCTTACAGAAAGTTTTACAAAGTAAACTTTTGTTTTTGGATATGTCCTTGTTGCATGTTGAATGACACAGTAAAAACAATTGCTAAAACTTTTACAAAAGTATTTTGAGAAATTATAGATTAAGGACACTTAAACTGGGGGGTAACTTAGATCCATCTATAATAAACAAATTAATCAACACCCTATGACAGCTGATTAAATCGGTTATAGTTTCACATGTTTCATGTCTCACACTGAGTATTTCCAATAACTTTTTTTATTTAAGATCAAATTACCGTTAAAAATACACTACCGTTAATATTGGCTTTCACATTTTCAGCAAATAAACTAATATTTGAGATCTAAGTTATTTTTGAAGTAGGCAAGGACAAATTAAGACTTTGATTGATGATATTAAGAAATATGAAATCGTAACTTAATTTTGGCACATGAAAAACCTATGATTCTAATTTTGAAGATATTTTAAACACCATATGCTACATATGATATCATAATACTAAAATTACACGATAAACTTTTCTCTCACTCAAGATATGCAAGAAACAATATACTACAAGTAATGATAAAATAAAAAAATAAATAACAGCCAAAACTTCAATGCTAATGTAAAAAAAGTACTCTCTCTTATGCTTTCAACTACCAAATGTAAGATATCAACTTCACTACGTTAACATTTAAATTATTAACCAATACTTTAGGATCTTATAAAATAATCCACTTTATAAAAAAAAATTAATTGTATGTTTAAAAAATACAAACATTACTTTTTTAAGTTTATTAAGTAACACCAACAAAATACACCATACTTTAATCTACCTGATGATTCAACAAAGTTGATCTCAGGCCTCAGTTTGTGAATCAGTAGACTTAATTTTATAAGGAGGCTTCTTTCATCATTGGCCCTAGCTAGGATATTATTGTTTTTGGTTTACCTTTTATGGTTAAATATTCCTTAACTATTAAGAATCAACTATAGGGTATACCCCAAAGTACAGTTAAGGTATGTTTTCAAACCTAATTGTTGTTTACAATCTTTTTTTAAATTTTAGGACCATATTCCTATGTTACTCTCGTCTTTAGTAATTTATAATTTACTTGTACTTGCTACAAGCAAGGTTATATTAGTTCTACGAAAAATAACTTAATACCATGCATAGAAGAACACTCAAATTTTAGATCACTCTCCAAATATATTATAGTTGAGCATGTCCTAGGAGACTGTGATCTAGTTGTCACATCCAATTTGTTTAGGGTATTTAGACACTTCATTGACATTAAGGGTACCCTTCCAACTGCATCCAAATGCCCTCTATAGCAAGGTGCCCTTGATATAAAAAATGAGCCACACAAAGCTGGATTCCATATTGACCATACTAAATTTCTGAATTTTAAGGCTCCCCATATTGTTTGGTGTGTGCAGGACATGGGCGTTCGTGAGTTGCATGTTGCGATGACATGCATTGTCCACAGGAAGTCTCAGGGGGTTGATTAACAGTGCATTTCTTCCTTATTATTGATCACAAACTTTCAAACTATTTTTCTTCAGTTTGAACTGCTAAACATTTTACATTTACTTTCTGTGTTTATTTTACTGTCAATGATTGAAGTAGAAATTTCCTGAAAATAAATTTTTGTCTTTTAAGTAATACAGATATTAATATATCTATATAGGATCAATGATTTTTTTTGTTAAAGCTAGTCATACATTTATTAGCATTGTAATACATGACAAATAAAGATTGTAGATAAAAATAATTTTCCCTTATTTTGTGTCGAGGTTCAGTTAAGTTTGTCACGAGTTATCACATTATCTTATTCCATGAAAAAAACTTGTTTTCCTATCATACTGCAACATCATAATTCAAATGAAGTATAAAATGATGGAGCAAGATTTAATAAATTTGGTGAAAGTTGTTCAAAAAAGGCATGTTATATTTCTAGCAACATATCACCAATCTAAACTGTTGTCACTTTCTTCTGATCTCTTCATGAAGATTTGCTGCACTGGAAGTTATATTGGCTTATAAAGCTGAAAAGAACAGAAAAGAGTTTTTTTTACATATACCAGCCTACATCTTGAAGCTAAAATTAAGCAGTTACATCACACCATGAGAAACAGTTGCAGAGCTTATTGGATCGGCTCTGAACCATATACTGTAATAAACGTTTTCACAGATTCAAAGTGCAGTCTTATTACTCTGGGGAATTCTCATTGTAAATACTGTAGGATACATAAGCTAATAAATTATACAACCTTTTCCCAGAACAGGGGTCAAGTTGGCTTATTTCTGTGCACGTGCTTTGTTGCTTTCAAGAGTATCATATTACAGTGTAACATAAACATAACAGTGTCTAATGACACAAGTTATGATTTGTTGGATTAAGGGTTTTCTGTATGTCTGTAAGCCATCAAGCTAAAACCCAAATATACTTTTATATTAATTTCTAACTTCATTATATTTATCCTATAAAACTATGGTTAGACTGACTAATTTTTCATCACTTCTACTTAAGGCAAGTGATGTTATTAAACCTGTTCTAATATTTTAGAAACAGTAACATTAGTTATACGTTAAATTTTATTTAGTATTAAATCTTGTATGATGCTTTTCTTTGTGCCTGGAATTTTGTTTCTTGGATGTTTCTTCAGTTGACTGCAGAAGAAAGTGTACAAATCTACTTTAATTCATGTTTGATGTTATCTTCAATATAGTTAAAGCACATGACTGGTTCAACTGCTGATACCTATTTAGAATATATCCAAAGAAATCTACCTGAAGGTGTGGCAATGAAAGTGACTAAGGTAAGATTTCATTGACATTTACTACATATAACTTAATTGGGGGTTGAAAACTTTAAAAACTAAACATATCAAGAGCCTGGAGTAAGTGGTTAAAATCCATGGACATAAAATATTTGAAAATGTGGAAACTGAAAGCTGAACACCTGTGTGTTAGGGATTAGGAGCCTGTTTTTTTCCAGATGTTTCTTCCCATACAGACAGAAATTGTCACAACTGGCCATAAAGTGAAAATAAGTTAATCACTTGTTCCTAATATGACAGTAATGTCTAATGAACACATTCCTTATCAACTAAGGAATTCTAATGTCATTACAGGCAAATCTGAACAAGCAGGTCAGTATCAAGCTACATAAAAACAGCAGATCTGAAGGAAGTGTACTGCAAATAATAAAATAGACAAGATAAAAACAGAGGTGCCAACCCTAAATGATAAGAATGGCAGCTTAAAACAATTGGAATTTAAACAAATAAATCAGAATGATTTAATTTTTACAATCTCTTTCCCAACTCTGGGAGATGCTGAAATTTACTGAGTAAAATGCATAGTTTTCACTTATTTTGGATTTAATGCATGGCCAATAAGAATTATATTAAGACTTAAATTTCTGCAACATCCACACTTGGCAAGTTTCGTATTGAGATGACATTTATGGTTGATTGTTTTGTTTGTTGTTTCACCTTTAACTTACTTTACGAGTGTTTGTTCTTTTAGAATTTCTTTTTTCACTTTGTGTTCTTGATTTTTAGGTTGTTTTGTTGCTACAATGTAGTATGAGGATGCAATTCCATCTCATAATTTTATTGTTACAGTTGACTTTTGCTCTTTTTTTCACCTTTACAGGTATGATTTCAGTGCCAAACTTACCTGAGATTTGCTTTTGTCTAATTTATTTTTTTGTGAGGATTCCTGACCTAAGACTACAACTGTGTAGTAATATGATAAACTATAATGGCTGCCCCAACTTCTGAAAGGACTAACTGTCAATATGATTCCTGATTGGTTAATGTTTTATTAATTGTTATAAAAACACACAAGTTGGTTCGAATACAGCTCCAAGATTACAAATGCTTAAATGACTAAGATCTTAACAGTGTAGCTGTTTCAACCCCATAAAAAATTTGTTGGATCATGTTTTACCAAACCCACAAAACTTAAAATCAAAATTCAGAATTTGAAGGGTATAATTATAACAGTAAAACCTGATGTTTAAAATTGGATTAATTCTACTAAAACAAGAATGATGATCAAATCTGCAAAGAGACTGAGACATTTATATAAACAAGAAATGAAACCTTTATCAAACTAATAAATGTGCTGGGACATCCTGTACACTAGTTAGCTTCTATAATGTCAACACACTAACTAGCTGATTGAATAGAGATTTCAAAATTTCTGTACTGTATGTAGTGTATACCCATTTTTTAATATTTTGTGTAAATTTCATAATTAATATTGTAGGTTTATTTTGATGTTGTAACAAGTCCCTTCTACACCACTCTTGAAAATGTGTTTTTGCTACATCTTTTTGCTCTACTTTTTGTTATCAAG